AAATAATTAACTGGAATGAAAACGTTTATTTTACCGCTATGTGTGATAAACGATTTTCTGCAGCATTCATTTCTTGTCTTATTTGCAACAGTGTTGCATTTTACTATTTGATTTTTTTAGCTTCGTTATAGACCTTTAATCACCGTTTTATCATCTGATAGCATCTCTGATGGTGGCGCTCATAGAGATCATTTTGTGAGAAATAATACCTCCAAAACAGCCGTTTTTATGTGAACTCACACAGAGCCTGAAGCAGAGAGCCCAGCTTAACAGGGAAAGTTGATAATCACAGTCAGGATAACAGTTAGCTTTAACTGGGGTTTTAGGTTTTTTCAAGCCAACAACACAAAGACAGTCATGATGAACTTGGTTCATAGTATAACCCTCGGGCATGATTGGGTATAAAAAAAGAGTTTCTTAGAGAGCCCGGGTTTCTCAGAGGCAAGGAAGGTCAGATATTCACAAATCTACAAAAACCTGCATCTACAAATTGTGGAACAATTTTGGAAAAAATTCTTCAACATATAATTATGAATATCTCATCATCTACGTAATCAAAAGATTCAAAGAATCTAGAGACATTTCTGTGTGCACGGGACAATGCAGAAAATAGTTTTTGGATGCTCGTGATCTTTATGGCTGCTTTAAAAACAGACATGATTCTGACATGGAAATCACTGCATGGGCTCAGGAAAGTCCAGTTCGCTCTGCCATTCACAAATGAACATTAAAGCTTTTGTATCGTTATAGATGTTGAAACATGTTTTAATCAAGTTGGTACGGTTGTTGTCCTTAGTTGCAGTAATAAGCTGACAATACACTTTAGCTGTTAGCAGTGCCGTTCATTTTACCTGAAACCTTGAATCTTGCTAATTATGTCCCTCCATCTATTTTCTATTTTGCTATTTTGTTCACTTCATTTTCCTCCGTCTCTTCCTCACATCTTCAGAACTGCTGCATTTATTTTTAGTTTCTTTATGTTGTTTTCTCTCAGCTTTTCAGCTCTACCTTTTGGTCACTTCTTCCACGCTTAACTTTTTCTTCATGGTGCACGAGCGCACAGCGAAGGTAGGGGAGGGTGCAGTCGCATTAAGAGATATGATTGGGTATTCCAGTGTTAACAATGCAAATGAACAAATGGACTGCTGTCACTGTTTGGTGCAGAGGCCCTTCAAGACAGTCCATTAGCCCAAAGTCAGATTACCAGTCCAGCCCTGGGTGGGACTACATAAGTGTTCCTTTTCAAGCATTAGTTAGGAAATTCACTTTGGAATTCTTAGTTTTGAAGATTTTCCCAAAACCTCAGGAACACGGTGGCAATATTAAATCTATTTAACTGCGGTGTACTTCGTTTATAACCCAATTGTGGCATTTTACTACTTATCTTTAAAAAATCACAATGGTAACATCAGTATCAAGTTCTCTTGCTCATTAAAACCTTTAACTGTCTACAGTAATGTGTCTTTAAAAAAGTCTTATGACTTTATGTTATACAGCTCAATATAAAATCTGTCTGCTCTAAAATCGGATTTTCACTGCAGGGATTGGTCCTCATTCAGCTGCAGGAGCATTAGTAAGATCCCACACTGTTCTTGGGTGATGAGGCCTTGCTCTCAGTTGGTGTAAAATATAATTGCATAGTGTACTATGCGGGGTTGGAACTGATATTAATGATCTTCAAATGTCTTATTTTTCCCCTCCAGCAGTCTCAAAGTCAAATATATTCAGCTTGTTATCACAGAGGAGTAAGAAAACTAGAAAATATAAAATTTTATGACACAGAATTGGATTGTGTGGTGGAAACAAGGCAGAGGTCGCACACGTGTAGAGGAAAGGAGACGCACTCATGCTTTATTATATAAATAATACCACATACAGATGGGGAAATAATTAAAAAATAATTAATGCTCGTTTACAAAGAAATTAACAGTCTCTAATCTTTACTGTAGTTTATTTTTAATGCAGAGAGACAGAAAATCAACCAAAAATATACACTTATACAAACTTAAACATTTATTTGCATGTCATTAAATGAAATCTGTATTTGAATCCTGGCTCTTGAGCTCTTACTCAAGATAGTTGACTTGCTCAAGTCTGGAGTGGTCTACAAGACCATCAGCAAGAGAAGCTTGGTGGGACAGTAATAACTGCTGCTGCGATTATTTGAAAGTGGAAGAAATATAAAGTGACCATCTGTCACGGTTCTGGGTCCGTTGGACCCAGTATTTTGAGTTTATTGTGTTTAAGTTTTCATCAGGGATTGTGTTCTTGTTCTCTTGTCATGTTATGGTGATGATTATGATTTCTATTATTAGAGTTCCATGTTTCTGTTTATCTGGGTTTACGATGTGAGTTTAGTTTCATATGTCATTTCCTGTCTGTCTCTCAGTGTCAGGTCTGCGTCTTGGTGTGGTGTTCTCATTTCCTGTTTTATTGTGAAGGTCTGGGTCTCATGTGAGTGTGTTCAGTTTTACCTTTGTCTCGTCTTGTTGATTATTCCCAGCTGTGTCCACCACCTGTGTGTAATTCCCCTGTGGTTCTCTGTGTATTTAAGTCATGTCTTCCGTCATTGTTGTTGCTGGTCCGTCTGTGTATTCCACCCTGCGTCATCTGTGTATCTACCATGTCACATCCGTGTGCTCTCCCTGCTGTCCATCGTCATTCTCCTCTGCTCGTTCTCATTCAGGTTTGTGTTTTGTAGTTTAGTTGTTTCCCAGTATAGTTTAGTTCCAGCTCCATTTTCCGTTTGTATTTACTTTCATGTTCAATAAACCACCTTTACACCTTCACGACTGCCTGCACTTGGATCCTGCTTTATTTCCTCCACACGGCTCACCTCACTCACCGTGACACCATCAGTCATCCTCAGTCTGGAGCTCCATGCAAGATCTCACCTTATAGGGTGAGAAAGATCATGGAAAAAAAAAATGGTGGATCAGCCCATAAGTACACGGGAGGAGCTTGATTAATGGAGGCTGGAGACAGCTGTGACCACAGTCACTAAGAACAGCATTGGTAATGAATGGAAATCTTGCAGCACCTGCAACATCCACACGCTCAAGAAGGCACCTTTAACCTCCTAGGACCTGGCGTCCACATATGTGGACATCACATTTTGGGACGTCTAGACCAAAATACTTTACATTACGAGGACATTATACTGCCACTGTTCTATCAAAATTTGAAACAAATGTCCTCATATGTGGATCTCATTTTTCTCAAAAAACAAAAATTACATTCTTTAGGTCCCAAGCAACCCAAATAGCAAAGAAAATTAAAAATGCATGCCATGAAAGAGTTCGGGTCTTAGGAGGTTAAATGATCCAGAGAAGGCTCGGGAGAAAGTGCTGTGGCCAGATGAAACCAAAATCGAACTCTCTGGCATCATCTTGAGCCGGAAGAGAAATATGTACGATCCAAAGAACACCATCAGCACAGTCACTTGATCTCCATGTTTTTAATTTAGCTGCTGTTGACTTCAGTTCTTGTTTTGATCTACTATGATCATAAGCTCATGTAACTTCCTTCTCCAGCTACAATTAAGGCGGTGGTCTGACAGACCGTCAGAACCTCTAACTTGAGGGTGTTACAGAAATGAGTAACGGGCCCTTGGCTGATAGGCCACTCCTCTGCTAAGTTGACTGACATAAAGACTTCTTTTCAATGGGTTAACTATCGAACGTTATGGTTTTCTAGGTGGTGCAGTTCACCAAGAACTTCAAGCTTCAGTTCTTTCTGAGTGAAATTCTAATATTTTATTAGTAGCTATTACTTTGCGATAAATCTGTGCAATGCACCAATAACATTTACAGGATGAAGCTGTTGGACCAAGCTAAATGCTGTTAGCTTGTTAGCCAAATAAGACTAAACTTCTAGCTCAAAATATTCAACATGACTGTGGTAAAAATGTGAATGTTTAATCTTCAAAATGTGCAAAACCAATTCAAAATAGGACTGCACACTAACAAACTGATGGTAGATGGCATAATTTCCTCAGATAAATATGAAGCGGGGAAACGGGCTATCCGATTAGCATGAACTGAACTTTCAAAATGAGAATGAAGGGAAGCTGCCTTTGCTTCCAGCAAACCTTTCTACATTTGGTTGAGTTGACCCTTTTAACTTTAGAAAACTGAACTCTGACAACATGAAAAAGTTGGAAAGTTTAACCTCAAGACATCATTACCCAACGCTGTAGCCAGTACCCTCTCTAACACGTAGCATGGAGCCTGTCTTGATACGTTGCCAGACTTTTCCAGATGGGATAAAAGACGGTCTGAGTCACTCACAACATTTGCATAGTGTATCTCAACGTGCTGCCAGAAACGGGTACACAAAACTTCAAATGCAGTTGATGCCGCTTCACAAACAAGCCGCGACTCAAATCAGCCGAAATGACATCCGAAGGTATTACTGCGTCCTAAGTGCTCGTAAAAACAATAAACACGCATGTCTAAATAGCACAGCTGGAGAGACGGTCTAATAACTCGGAGTCACTGCGACACAAACGAGCGCGGTGGCGTCGTTAAAAACCCTAGCAAGTGGGGAGATAGAGTTGTAGCAGTCATTAAGGGCAGCACTGCTCTCTGCAATTCTGGCTTATCTACTGCAAGGTGGAGGCACGGGGAGGGTATTTCTGCTCGGGGCTCATGTGCAAAGCTGAGATACAGAACAAGAGGGAAGTGGAGGGAGAGAGAGGGAGAGCTAGAGCTGGTTCATTTGCAGCTCGTCCCTGTAGACTGTGGAAAGGATTATACTCACAGAGAGAGAGAGAGAGGGAGAGATGCACAGGCTCTGTCTTAGCACACACTGAGTACCCAGCCTCCAATCTTCTACACTGCACTGTGCACTCTCCCCGTCTCCTCAACAGCACTCACTTCTCTCTCTTTGCTCCATCACACACACACACACACACACACACACACACACACACACACACACACACACACACACACACACACAGCACACACACGTGCAGACACAAACCCACCAGTGCCATGTAGCCACGGCCAGAGGGGGACACCAACCTGCACAGGACCACGAGCCAGGTACGCTGCCTTCATTCATTCAATTTTTTTCGGCTCAAACTGCCACATTATGCACCAGCTGATTTATTTATTTATTTATTTTTGGGAGGGTGGGGGGTGTTGTCGCTTTTAGTGATCCAGCCACTCACTCTCTGCAGAACACTCTGCATGCACCAAGATTATCTGGCTTCTTTGCATAGCCCCCAAGAGAAGCAAAAAGAAGAGATATCAGAGCTGGAAAGAGAGGGAGCAGCCAGAGGGGAGGAAACGGGGGAGACCAAAGTGAGCAGTGCATGTGCAGGGACCAGCTAACCTGGCTTGACCTTCACGTGGACGGCAGCCCACTCACTCACTTTGAGCACCTGTTCAGCAGTGCGTGGGACACTGCCCACTAAGACTTCACATGTAAAAACCAGCTCTTAAAAGGCACATTTAGCCCCCCCTTCTCTCCTCCCCAACACTTTGTCTTCTCAAGAGGGCCGAGTTAATAATCATTCGTTCTGAGCGTGCTCAGGGGACTCGCTGCGGTTGCTTGAAATGCAAATGGACAAGCGAACTGATTATTCATTCTTGTGAAATTAATTTGTATTTGTCACAGAGGCAGCGTGCTGGAGGGGTGGGTGGGCGGAAGGGTGGGCGGTTGACACATGCTTTCATTCCAATCTGAGGATTCATCTGAGAGATTTCCTTTTTCGCTTTTGCCTCTGTGAGGTGTGTCGAGTTTGCGCACAAACCCTCACGAGAGCAACACCTCTGACTCCCAGTTTGACTTCAGCTTTTTGAAGTGGATGTAGCACTCTGTTTGTATTTTTCTTTTCTGGTGACTCAGAGCGCGGGGCTTCAGAATTCACTTTGATGCTGGTTTCGAGATCAGCCTCGTACATCTCGAGACTGCAGGGGCCTTTTTCTTGTTGGAATATTTTGGAATGGAGTTGCGCTGGCCTGGAGAGGAAAAGGCAAAGCGAATGAAGTTTTAATCTGAGTCATTGCTGACGCTTTCCTTCTGATTTCTTTGATCTGTAGCACTTAGCAGAGAGTCAGGGCTGTCTGACAAATAGCTGCAAGATCAGAAACAAATCCTCGTGTTCGGATGGAGCTTTTCAAACAGCTGCAATTCTTCTTTGTGTTCGGGGGTTATGAAACACTTGGTATTAAAATTAAATGTGTGCAGTTTAAAAAGAATTTTAACATTTTTGACTTTCCTCATTCGCTGCATGCGCTGATTCTGACTCCGATGCTTCTGATGGTTTACTGTAAACTGGCCCGTGGTGTTCTCAGTCTTACAGATTCTCACAGACTCACGCACAAACGCAGGATGACCTCACACTCTGTCAGAGGTGTTAAATTTATTTATTTTTTCTCTCTGCAACAACAGGGAAAAACCTCCCTTTATTGCCACGTACAGTAGCGTCAGATTGTTCTTTTTTTGGTTTTAAACACAGGAGGCTGTGAAAAGATTCACTAACAAAACCATAAGTGCATAACAAAGTTTGAGTGGGAATTACCAAACATATGTACAGTGAGGCTGTGGGGACTTAAAGCACAAACAAGGGCCCACACTCCCACCACACACGCCGGAGCTGCACAGCTGCCATTTAACAAACAATTAGTAATGCAGTCTGAAGTGAAGACAGCAACATGTTTGAGGAAAGTATGGACTTACCACACCGTTGACTGTTTCCCATACGTACGCTCAACTTGAGCAGCTGCCAGGTGTATTTGGCAACTGTCTTTAGCATTATATTCTATCGATCAGAGACAGAGACGCCGCCCGCAATCAGTTTGCTAAACTTAACCTCTCTCTGAATCTACTGGAGAGATCCTCAATATTGTCCAGCTGATTGTGCTGTTGGATCAGAAATGAAAATGATATAAGGCTTTTAAAAGGTGCTGTAGTTGCATAAATGGGCATTGCCCATTGCCAGGTGGTTGCTAGGCAACTTGGTGACATTATAATATGTTATGTATAATTCAGGTTTCTGGACATAAAGAAAAAATCTTCGCTATGGAATTAAAAGGACAGGTTGCTTTCATAAGGTGTTGTAGGTGCATGCGGCAAAAAAAAAAAAACAGGTCATATATATTGCTAGGTGGTTGCTAAGCAACCTGAGGGTGTTGTCATATAGTGTAAGTTTTGGAGATGTACATTAGAAGTGAAATAAAAATGATATATTTTTAAGATATTATACGTTAATTAAGTCATTTGACTCTGTTGATTTGTGTGTCACGGAGGAGCAGGGAGGACTCGGCGCAGACTGAAATCTCAGAAAAACAGGTTTATTTACACACTCCAGGTGCACTATATACAGGTGAAGGAGAAGGGGGCCAGGGTTCCCAGGGGTGCAGAGAGGGGTCGGGAAAAGCGTCCAGAGTCTCCAAACCAAGCACGAGAAATCTGCATACAGAGAACAAGAGTTAGCACGGAACTTTCACGGACAGAGCTCAAAACTGGCTGAGGCTAAAGTAGCACTGACGAGCGTTACTCAATAGTCCAGCGGCGAGGTGCTCTCAGTCACTGCCTTAAGTAGCGGGAGCAAACAAGGTGAGGAGCCACAGGTGATTGCCTACAGGTGGTGGAGGCCGGGAGCTCACAATGAGCTCCGCCCAGGCAGCGAGCAGAGAGAGAGGAGAGAGAGAAAAGACAAAACATAACATGTAGCCACACAGGGTCAGCCGAGCAGGCACGGGGACCATGACATTGTGGTTGCTAGGCAACATCGCAATGTCATAATATCTGATATAGATAAGAACCTTAATGAGTCTAAAATGTGTCTGTTTGCCATTTTGGGTTGTTCAGCCTTTGATATTGTAGGAGTTGGTTTTAGAAAGAAAAGCAAGTAGACAGACAGAGACTTCCTGTATTGTACACTAAGATATGTCACAAAGTATAGAAAATATTTGTGCAAATTCAGACTTTCATGATTATTTTAAGCCCGTGTGCCTATATAAATCTGTCACCTGGGAAACACTGGACTAACATACCTACATATATTGTGGTCTCTTCAGCAATCACTGGAAATTGTTGAAACTTTTAAATTACACACCAGCAAATCTGTTTTTCATGTATTCTGCAGTGACCTCGGTTCACAGCTGCAACAACTAGACTGCTTTTAAACAAAGGCAATCATTCCAAAAAGGAAAAGAAATGCAGGAACTTTGATTTACTGCTGGTTGATCTGATGATCTTGTGTCATGGACGCTTGATCTACTGCATATCTGGAAAACTTGTACAGGCAGAAGCCACAGCTCTCCTGAACCTTGAATCACAATCTACAGAAAATTCTTCAGCAGCAAAGGTAGTTGTAGAAGTACAACTTCTACAGGAAGAGGATTTTAAAATGACCTAATACACTTTGACTGGTATTTGACTCTATAGATGCAGGTTTTGTGACTTTGCCAGCTCAAGCCCAAACTACACTGTTGCTGAAATATTCATCGGCGGGGGCGTTTCCAGAGGGGATGCATTGGAGTAGAGTCATGTTAATCTTAAATTGCCTAATGTCATTGATTGAAAACATGGAAAAGAAAAGTGGTGGAATGTAACTTAATGCTTTAATTGAAGTACTTTACCACAGAACACTTTCAATGTCAATTTGTCTGTTTTCTCAACTACTTCTTCATCCTATACTGCTGACTTCTACTTGTACTCGATCCATGTTCAATCCATCCACCCATCCATCATTTTTCTGTTTATCTGGTTGTGGTGGTAGAAGGCACCGTGCTCCAGTTCCTCCTGGAGGATCCTGAGGTGTTCATAGGTAGATTTCTGGGTCTATCCCTGAGTTTCCTCCTAGGTGTGCATGTTTGAAAAACCTCCTGAGAGCTACTGTTAGATTTGTATTGTTGATTGTCATTTATGCTTAGAAATATTTACTTCTATATGCTTAGAGTTTTGTAATTAGTTGTAGATTGGTAGAGGTTTTAATCCTTGATAGTCTGCAAACTTTGTGTGTATTAGACAGCACTTTGGGAGCATGAGAGGTCATACCATGTCTTATTGTTTTATGGTAGGATTAACGTAGTTGCATCTGTTCTAGTCTAAGTGCTCTTTGTTTAGATGAACTGCAGGACTTCCTCACCGTGTTATCTAGGATGAACCATCTAGGGTGAGGGGGAGGCTACCCTCTTCCTGACCAAGGATGTTTGACCCTTTGATCAGCAGTCCACACACACACACACACACACACACACACACACACACACACACACACACACACACACACACACACACAGGCAAGGTACTCTTTGTGTTTGTAGACGTCATATGTTAATGAACTTATGCATATTCATGTAACCTCAATAAAAGGGCAGTGGTACGGGAGAACGGACGAGAGCAACTGGGGTCAAGCGAAGGAACGGCGCCTGTCCGGTTTTCTCCCGTGCACGAGAAACATGAAGAAGCTTGCCTACTTGTGTCTTGCTTTGCAGTGTAATTATATTGTCTTCAACGTTCCAGCGGATGGGTTCAAGCTACAAACCTATCAGCTACATCTAGGAGACATACTGGTCGAGATGCCAACCTTTTGACACAAAGGTGCAGAAACCCCTCCAGATGTCTGAGTTCCTCACCCTTCCTTGCAGGAAGCTCTTGTCTGTGGCTGGATCTGCAGTCTTATTCTTTCAATAACTACCCACATCCAATCATTAAACTTGGAGTATTGTGCTACTGTGAATGCCAATCCACCTTCCTCACTCGTAAACGCGACCCTCAGATATTTGAATACCCTAGCTTGAGGCAAATACTCTCCCCCAACCCAGAAGAAGCAATACTAGTTATTAAAATTATTTTTATTTACTTTTATTTAATTATTTACTTCCTACTTTGCACATTTTAAAATAAATCCACTGAAATATGATCCTTTATTGTTAGTCATCTAAAAGCAACATTAAAGTTATAAACACATGAATGAAATAATCGTTATGATCACGTATGTAATAAAAAGTGCTGTTGCTTTAAGAATATGTCTTTTACTTTACGAGAAATTTTTAAATACTTCTTGTGCACTTTATAAAATAGTTAC